AAGTGCGAACCCGGCAGAAAGTCAGATCTTTATAGAGCTGCAATGCGATTAGATTCATTCCATCCACTTGGAGCTATCGTTTCCGGCTGGGATGAGACAAGTGCCGGCACTTGAGTGTATTTTTATTAAGTATTTATCAAGGAAATCAATATGTCGCCTAACCGATTGCCCATCCCGTCCATACGTCCATTTCTATCTGCCTACTTCTCTTGGCTTCCGCTCATATCAGGCATATGAAATCGAGAGCATTCACTTCCGCCCATTTATCCGCCCCACACTCCCCACCCCCCCCCTTCCCCCCACGGACACAATTGAAATTGAATAAAATGACTTTTCAAATTATTTGCGATAGAGAAAGAGACAGGAACGGCAGGCACATGGTGGTGCCAGAAGTGCTTATCTATGGGAAAATGTTAACTGTATGAAAGCCATAAACTGTAGATATGCAAAGCTCCCGCCATTCCAGCGGAAGAAGGCTGAGAATACGTAAAAACAAATAACAATTTTGCGCTCAAAATAGAACACAAACAACACAAAAGGCAAAAGGGATGGGTTTTTTTTGTGTCGGAGGGAAGGTGGTTTTCGGCGGAGCCCACAGCCAATCCCATTCACATATCTTGGAGGAGGTTGTCCAGGGGGTAGTGAGCATAAGAAGGCAGCCAAGTATCGATTTATGCATATTAAATTACACGCACTGCCTTTACAGATCTCGCTCGAGTTCGTATGCGAACACTGAAAGAAAATAGTTGTTAATTTATTACTAGTACAGATATATAAATTTATTCTTATTTAAGATTTTACATTCAAAAACTGAGAAAGATATCCTTTATTTTTATTAACCACTTGACAAGTAACCCATATAAGATCAATGTTTTTAGTCATATTATTTTTCTGTGCATTACTTATCCGCCCAGTGGTCCGCCGGAAATTCGTCTGATTTATGATTTCACTTGCAAAAAATGAGAAAAGGCTGTAAAGTCCAGAAGATTTCCTTGGTTTTTTGTTAACCCTGCCTAGTAACCCATTTTATTAGTCATATTATTTCTCCGTGTGTATTTCTTAGCCCGGTGCTCCGCCAGAGCAATTTATATTTCCTTATTGGCCTGTGCGTGTGTATTTCTGACATCTCAGTTGAATCGCCTCTGCCTCGCCCCCTTTTTCCGCCATTATTACCATTGGGATTCCACACTAGCGCCCAATTTATAAACGTTTGGCTGTTTGCCTTATCTCCGGGTTGTTCCTGCTCCGGGACCCATCTTCGTTTCCATTGGCAGGACACTTGGAGAAAAAACGCTGGGCCGGAGATGCGACGGCGAGGATAAGGACAAGGAATGCCCCGGCCGAGGCAGAAATTTATTTCAAATTGAAAATTCTTCTCCCCGACGGAAAAATCCATTTATGGCCTCTCAGTGAGCCAGCTTTCCTCCCTGCCCCTTGCCCCCTGTCCCTCGATCCGAATTCCATGCCGCGAAGTGCATATTTTAGAGGAACTTACAGGCGGAATTACTTTCCTCCGCGGAGAGCGGGGGGAATCGGGAATCGGGAAACTATCCAGGCAATCAGAAGTTGACTTTGTAGCATAAGCGGCGGTCATAACTCACGCAATCCCCGCCAGCATATGGAAACGAGGAAGCCGCAAGGGGCGACTCGGAAAACGTTCAATTTTCAATGAGCACTTTTCGCTGCAAAGTGGGTGGAGATGGAGGAGATGGAGCTGGGTGGCGACAGGGGGAGTTCCAGCTCTGCAATATTAATGCCCACCAGGAGCAACGCCCAGAACGTTAAGAGTGTCAAACCAGCGACTGACCAGCGGAGACTTCCCAGATGGGGACGTTCGGGTCACTCGCATCGCACTCTTAATTATTCTGGTCACATCTGTTATGTAAACTGCGACCGGGCCATAAAAGTCGCCTTCCGAAGAATGGTGGAGGCGGCGCCGCCCGACGACATAAGCCCAAAAGACAATGCCCGAAACTTTGAATCGGGGATGACCTTCTGCCCCTCGTGCCCTGCAAAAATTAAAAACGAGAGCCACGCACTTGGGTTGCGAAATGGGAACGGAGGAGGAGGAGAAGGGAGCCGGAACCTGTTCGGGCTTTTCCATGTCCGTGGCCTGAAGGCAGAGAACTCGGGACCCATAAATAAGCAGGCTCTTGTCCTGGAGCTCCAAAAGGCAGAGCCTTAATTTTTAAAGTACTCCCCTTTCCAAAATAACACCTTTTTATGCTGGACGAGTACGTGGCCACGGTGGAAACCATTTCGGAAGACAGAATTATCATTATCATAGAAAACCATTAAAATTGTTTATAAAACTAGGTTACAAACAATATTTCGTATAATAATAATTGTATGATAAACATAATAGGGACAAACAATTTAAACATTATTCGCTTAAAAAGTAATTAAATTAATATTTCTACGCAAATAAAACTAACAAAAAAAATGGAGAATACTTTTTAAAAGTAAGTAACTACTTTGTCCCAATTACAAGTAAATTTTAAGAACACTTATCCCATTTTTTAATTGAAGAAGAAAATATATTTATTTTATCAAACAAATATCAATTGGTTCATACATACTTATGTTGCCCAAGTTGACACCATAAAATATAATTATTCTGTTATAATTTACTTGACCATTTTAATTGCAGATTAATTAAAGGTTTAAAAATATTTATTTAAACAACTGATATTTCTTGCAGAAAATAAATTAAGATTTATTTATTTGCATTGCCTTGTTTTATTATAATAGAAAATATTTAACAAGTATACCCCATGGTAATACTATGGTATCATCTTTTGGGATATAATTGTAAAGTTTTAGAGCCACTGCCCTATGCACCTCTGGGCAACTCAGGTAGCCATACCTACGCTGACACCTTTTCCGGTTACTTTCCTTGGGGCGTCGGCCATCAACTTTTTTGCATTATGCTTGATCCGCTGTTTCATCATTCGCTGCCTCTTCTTAAATACCCACCCAACCATTTTTTGGCCGGGACACTTGCCTTGGGTCACCCCAAACCGTATTTTTAATTAATGTTTAGAGCAATTTGAGGACCTTGTCCTCTGGCAGCTGCTCCTCTCAGTTTTCCCCTTGTTATCGGGATTTGTTTATCAGGAACCCTTTGGGTCGTCACCAGGTAGCCCTTGGGTTATTAAGAGATTCATAAAAAGAGTACCAAGGGGCCAACGACCAAAGTGCTAGAATGGAATAGAGCGACAATAACAACCTGTTTTGCACTTGGCAACGGAAGCCGTTTCGCTGGAAAAGTGCGCGCCTTTCGTGGCGGTCAATGAAACCAATTAACTGTACTCGAAGTGGACTTGACCAAGTAGGTCTGCTGCATTCATCCGTGGCATCGAGTACTCCGGTCTCGGCCCCTTTACTTGGTAAGAGCAAAACCGCAAGGGTCCGACAGATGGCATATCAATTACCTGCGGTCGCTTGCTCGCTTTCTAGAAACAGAGCTGAAAACCAAATGGGTTCTTGGAGAGGCCAACTAATTGCAGTATAAGAGCTTCCTGGAGCCACAGAAACTCGTTTTGCAAAGACGAGACCACAACAAAAACAGATAACACGGAGAACAGAAAACATACACGGTGTAAATAAGCTGTGCCTTGGCAGCAAATGCAATACATTTTAAGGAGATGTGGTTTCACAAAATGTACATATATTTACTTAGATGGTTAACCATGGATTTGTCGATAGATAGACCAGCTTGAATCGTCGATAGATCATCGTCTACTTCAACTTCTTCTTGGGGCGCAGGTTGTTGGTGTGTCCGCACTTCTTCTTGCGGCAGTTGGTGGCACGAGGATGCAGACGAGCGTAGCACTTGCGGCAGATCATCTTGTCGCAGTTGTACTTCTGGGCGAGGATCCTCAGAGAGGGCTCGATGATACCACCACGCAGGCGGAGCACCAGATGAAGGGTCGACTCCTTCTGGATGTTGTAGTCCGACAGGGTGCGGCCATCCTCCAGCTGCTTGCCGGCGAAGATCAGACGCTGCTGATCTGGGGGAATGCCCTCCTTGTCCTGGATCTTGGCCTTCACATTCTCGATGGTGTCCGAAGGCTCCACCTCCAAGGTGATGGTCTTGCCGGTGAGGGTTTTCACGAAAATTTGCATGGTGGCGGCTTCGCTAAAAAAGTATAAAATCAAATCAATCCCAATTCAGAGGGTTTACCTAGAAAACTTGTGGCTTCCAAAAAGCGGGCGGGGATTCGAGGTTAGGTCCGACCTGCTGGCAAGTTTCCGCTCAAAGAAACCGCTTCACAGGTCGCTTGGGCCGATTTTTCGCATTTCCCAGCTTACAAACATTTCACTGAATTTAAAGCACTTGACTTTCTTCCACGCTTTCGGGTTTTTTCGTTTATTTTTGCAATATTTTTAACAACTCACCAGAAGAAACGTGCAACCAAATGCTATTCACAAGAGAAAAGAAGGTGTGACCGCCGCAGGGCACTGGAAATATACCATCCTGCTATTAAAATAAATACCAAAATTTATTTTTAAATATTTTTAAGTATTTAGTCATACATACATATTAAAAAATATATCTCCAATATATTAATATTAAATATTTGTTGATTTGTTGCTTAGAAATATTGACTTGTTATTAAAAATGCTTTGTTTTAGACATGAAAACTTGGACATAGGATCCGCGGGGGAAATAAATATGTAAGGTATGGAAGTTGATTGAAAAAATTACCTATATAAATAAATTAAAATTTATTTGGGTATTCTTTTTTTTGAGATACAAAAGCTCACAAGTTATATATTCCATAAGCTATAAAAACACTGTAAGTTGCATATAAATGTGTTTGAAGCTAGTTGAATTGTTTAAATGAAGTACCGAAAATATGATGTTTCATACAGTTCATATAAATTGCTAACATGTTTTAAGAAGTAGTTCCAAACTAATATATACTTTTAGTGGAAAACGAGTAAGTGTAAAAAGTGTATTTGAATTAGCCGGATGGTATTTCCTTCTTACCCAGTCAGGGTCCTACTGTTTTCAACATTTGGGCAACTGGAGCACAAGTTGTGCGGAAAAAGGGATAAAAAGGGAAAAACGTGGATTCCTTTAAAAACTGAGCATGTCGAAAGCAGGAGAAGCTCAGCCCGCGGCTGAGGGAGCGGTAAGCATCCGGGAAACCCCTAGATTATGGCCCCGACCTCATATTAATGCCGACCTGGTTCTCGGTTTTTTTTTTTCTAGGTGGTTGCTGGCAACGGGAACGCTGAGCTGGCCCAAAATGAAGGTCAAAATCAGGAACAGGCGCAGCAGCCCCCCCAAAATCAGCCCACCCGCATGGAGTCCTTCTTTGCGATGACCAAGTCCCTGATCCTGCGCGCCCTAATCATCTACTTTGTGAGCTCCTTTTTCCGACGACCTGCTCCCGATGCCGCCACCCAGGACAAGAGTGTGGCGAATGCCGGTCCTAAGATCACGGCCTGGAATTACTTTGAAAACGGCACGGACTTTGACCTGCACGTGTGGCTATCGGATCACCCCGATGTGGTCAACTTTCAGCAGAAGGCGAATCTTCTCTGGCTGCAGGAGGACCTCACCTATGGTGACTGGACATCGGGCGTTAATGGCGACAGCATCTTTACACACAGTTTGAAGCTGAAGACCAGCCAGCACCTGATGAACAACGGCAGTGTGTACCTGCATGCTTTCGTCACCCGTTCGGGGATGAGTCCTGATCCTCAGTCGCCCAACTATGCGACCAATGGCCACATGGGCCACCAGCAGCATCAGTTGAACAAGTTCAAGAAGCTGAAAGTTAACCGCAACTACAATCTGCTGGCCAGCGAAAAGGAGAAGCTGGAGCACGAGCTGAAGCATGCGAATCTCAAGGACACCATTGTGTCCCACTGGCATCCCAATCTCACTATCAATCTGGTGGTGGATCAAACCAACTGGGCACAGGGTTCAGTGCCACCTCCTCTCGATGAGTACGTCAAGTTCGTGGACGGAGGAAAGACCTATCTGCCCATTGTGTTTGTCAACGATTATTGGAACCTGCAGCGGGAGTACCAGCCCATCAATGAGACCACTCCCGAACTGGAACTCCATCTGACTTTCCAGCCACTGGGCATGTTCAAGTGGCAGCTGTATGCCGCCAAGCAGATGAAGAACAAGTGGGCTGGCAATATGCTGGGTGAGCTGATGGCTGCCAGTCAGCCGGAGGAGAGCGATGAGGACCAGGATTCGCTGAAGGAGACGCTGCTGGATACCAATATCTACCTGCTGGGCATCACAGTGGCCGTTTCCATACTTCACTCGGTGTTCGAACTGCTGGCTTTTAAGAATGACATCCAGTTCTGGAACAATCGTAAATCCCTGGAGGGTCTCTCAGTGAGATCCGTGTTCTTTGGAGTCTTCCAATCGCTGATTATCCTGCTGTACGTGTTGGACAACGAGACCAACTTCATGATTCGCATTTCCTGTGTCGTGGGCCTTGGCATCGAGGTTTGGAAGATCCACAAGGTGGTGGACATTAACTATGACCACGATCAGAAGATCCTGGGCGTGCTGCCGCGCATCAGTTTCCAGGATAAGGGCTCCTATTCGGAGAGCTCCACCAAAGACTACGATAAGCTGGCCTTCAAGTACCTGGGCTGGGCCTGCTTCCCGCTGCTGGTGGCCTACTTTGTCTACTCCCTGATCTACAACGAGCACAAGGGCTGGTACTCGTTTGTGCTCAACATGCTCTACGGCTACCTGCTGACCTTTGGCTTCATCCTGATGACGCCCCAGCTGTTCATCAACTACAAGCTCAAGTCGGTGGCCCACATGCCGTGGCGTATGATGACCTACAAGTTCCTCAACACCTTCATCGATGACATCTTTGCGTTTGTTATTAAGATGCCCACCATGTACCGGCTGGGTTGCTTCCGGGACGACATCATCTTCTTTGTGTTCCTCTACCAGCGCTGGCAATACCGCGTCGATCTCAAGCGCGTGAACGAGTTCGGCTTCTCCGGCGAGATGGAGCAGCAGAGTGCCGCCAAGAAATTGGAAGGACAGACTGCGAATGGAGCCATCGAAGCTCCTGAAAGCCATCGAAGCTCCAAAAAGACAGCCGCACAAAAGAAACAGGACTAGAGGGGGCTTAGGACTAGTAGCCACATTTAGGCATTAGCGGTAGAAGACAATGCTATACCCATATACTCCACTCCACTCCCCAATATGTAGGTAATCACTCTCCAGTATACATAGTCAAGTAACCCCGATAGCATCAATCTTAGGGCTAATTGTATGTACGTATGTTTGTGTTTTGTTTTTTCGTGCCTCCGCGCTTCTTTCTGCAGCGTTGGAAGATCAAATAAATTAAGTGTGAGATGAGCCATGTGCATGGTATTATCTAATCTTCAAACTGTTGAGTAATGGGGTGATCAGTGTTCCTAAAAAATGAGAGATAAGCTTGCTTATCGGGCGGTTTTGAGGGACGTGGCCAGATGGCTGAGATATAAACGGCCTCATTTCTGATGGATACAATTCTTGTATAAGATTTTCAACGGACATTTTAAATGAGGGATTAATTGAATAACTTTTCAATTCAGCTTTATTGGTTTTCTGCTTCAGCACAACTTCTCTTTCCGACTTAAGTGCTTTTGATTGGCTCTTCCTGTCAATTAAAACGTCTCCCATGATGTTGTAATTTCAAAAGACAATATTGAATCTAGGTACAGGTACGAAAATAAGTGGTTGCATACATATATTATGTTGAAAGTTGTACAGCACTTTGCTTGGGCAATTTTACAGCACTGAAAATAAACCGCGTAAAATTATGAATTCAAAAAGCAGTCGTTACAGAATTTCCATTGAAGAATCACAAAAATGGTGAATCGAAATGGTGTATATTCTAATAAGAATGATTACTGTAGCAGAAAAAGCACAAAAAGGGAAATAATTTGCATAATTATGTTTAGTTCTACCGAATATGGTTTTTTAAGTGGTGCAAAGGTAATATGTTTATTAAGAATAAACCAAGCCCAGTGTAATATGTAAAATTTGTAAACATTTTTTGAAAGTGTAATTTGAACCACGATAATTCGGAAGTGAAAACGGGATAGAATCACACCTACGAGTTGCCACTGGACTTGAGTGCGACTGGGGCATTGTATGGGGTCGCACCCAGGCATCGCCCACAAGAAGTCGGAAATGGAAGGTAACCAGCGATAAACACACGGACCGACTGGATTGCTGGAGTGCTGGAATCGAAAGAGCCACAATAACTGCAACAACAGCTCGATGCGTCGTAGGCTCAGCTATTTTTATTGGTTTGCCTTTGTGGCTCTCGGTCTCGGACTTCTGCTCCAATCGCAGCCAGAAAGCCAAAGCCAGGACTTGAAGCTCGGAGCTGGGCTTTGCGTGTTTTTGTAATATTTCTCAAAAGATAAGAATGCGACCGGACCGGGGCTGCTGCTGCTGTTACTGCTGCTGCTGCTGAAGTTTCTGTTGCCGAGGCACTTGGCTTGGCATTTAGGCAGCGACCACGACCAAGACGCGACGACATTCATAAAGAAATAAAATCGGACAAAACTCTTGTTATGCTCTTTTTACTGCACTAAGTGACAGTTTTACGAGGCAGCCAGCGAGTCGCGGGACTCTGTTGAGGTTGCCTCGCCGATTCCCCGATTCCCGATTCCATGGCTCTCTGGCTGTTTGGCTGTTTAGTTCTTTGGTCCCCAACTCCCATGCAATTCCATGTGGTCTAGCTCCCCAGCACAATGTGTGTGTGGAGCCGACCTTTTTCTATTCCCTGGGCACAGCAGAAACCCCTGAATATTCACACAGATTACGATCGAATGTGGAATCGGCGGGCTCTCTCGCTTAGATTTTTCCAGTGCTGTCAGGAATTCGTGGAATTCCTTCAGTCCCAGATTCGAATTTCCAGCCTAATAAGAATAAAGATGGCCAGCCAGCTAGCGACATCCGACAGACAGCATCTAGCAATCGTCTGCAGGCCAAATTTGAGGCCCAGACAGAAACTCATTCTCTGTTCATTCTACAGTAAGAAAAATGGGTAAAATCGATCATTACTGTTGAAGAACCACCACCAGTACTTTATACTTAATTTACTAAAAAGGTCTTACAGGTCACCTTTTGTTTATATGTGTAATATTTTTCAGCAACGGTATTGACCTCATCTGATGTTATATATTTCATTATGGCAATTTATATTTATATTTAATTACAGGGCTTATATAATATTTATATAATATAATTTAAAGGATTAATTATAAAAGGATTACGAAACAATGCTCTTATTTCCCTTAGTGTACACGTTTAGGGCACGCATGGAGGAGGAAGATTGGAAGCGGAGATGGAGACCGAGAGCTAGGTTCACACCAGCAACATCACCATCACCATCGCCAGAAACAACAAATTCAGAGGCAGCTCTCTGGGACAGCGAAGGGAAGTAAAACGCAGGTCCCAAACACAAAACACCAAACACCGAAATTCCAGAAAGCCAAAAAAAATGAGGCACCACCAGCAGCAGCAACAGCAAAAACAACAACGGCAAAGTAAACGACAACTAACCATAAGAAAAATGACCAGCGATAATTTTAATTTGAAACCAGTTTCTATGCTAAACAAAATTCTACCGCACTGGCCAAGAAAAGACGGTCCGATCGGAGCGATCCAGGGAAGTAGCCAAATAAAAGAGTCCACAGAGAGCGGGATTCTCTGAGACCGGGAGAACCAACCGAAGAGAGCGGCTAAAGAATTTCTTATCCCGAACCTGCGACATGGGAGTGAGGAGTGCTCCTCCTTCCAGTCCATGGATTCTAGTAGGACCGAGTGAGCACGACTGAGCACAGTAACAAATACAACTACTGCACGGAAAACAATGGGATTACTGATAGAGGATTGGAATGACGAGAGTGGAATATGGTAAGTACTTGCAAAAATTATAATATACATATCACCTAAAAAATAGATCCCATTCTTTGTGATTTCAATTTTAAATTAAACAAATTAACAAATCCTCTAAAATCAATATTATTGAGACTGTTTATCAATTACAATGTCTACATTTGTTTATCAATTACAATGTCTACAATGCTTTATAAAATATACATATAACCTCCCCTGCGTTATCATATGTACATATATATTGGTAATAAGTGACGTGTGTATTTGACCTGCGAATTACATCTATTGATACCAGTGATACATAAACAAAGCGCCAGTGAACCGGAGTCAACTGAAGTACCCCCAGTAATTTTTTATTGTTGCTGTGTATGGGTCGCCGGTGGCTATTGAATCTCGTTGGACTGGACTGGACCAAAGACGAAGTTGAAGACCGAGACTCCGAGAGCGCTGTTCCGAACAAGAAAATGAAAAACGAAACTGCAACAAGTGAAAAATGTGTTGCAGCTACAACAGGTAGAGTCGCGAGAGAATAATCGACCGATTCTCCGGAGAGTCGTGCTCCTCGGGTGGGTCTGCCTCTCTTTAGTGGGTCAAAACCCGCCTGACGGCTTTCCAGTCCTGAGCTCTCAGGCGAATCTCTGCTGGATCCAAAGTTAGAGCCACTCAGTTCCGTTGCGACCACTGAGCGAGTGGTTTAGGTCGATATCTTCGGCACGAGACTGATTAAAAGGCGCGCGTGCGTGAAAACGGTTGACAAAAAAGTGAAGGTGCGACCACGATTATTACAGGATAATTCTGTCAAAATAATACCCATAAGAAAAGCTAACGCGTAATTGAGGATATACCACCCCCAAAGGCTAATTCGCTAAATCTCGAGCAGCTGGATCCCCAACTCGCTCCCAAGTTTACCTCTGTTTTTGTGTGTGTGTGTCGCCGTTGCAAATTTTTATAAGTGAAAAATTCCAACAACGTTGCTGCAAGCAGCAGCAACAACAGCAACCAGCTACAAGCCATATATACAAGAGCGAAAAATGAGGCAAAACACGTTTTGCTGAAGGAAAAAAAATATACATGCTGAGTACATGTGTGTGTGTGCCCCCGTGCGTGTAACTGTGTGTGTGCTGTCGTGTCCATGTGTATGTGTGTGTGTGAGCCCACCAACACCAAAATGCATGTAAAAATGTGAAGAAAAATGGTAGGTACTCATAAACATTCATACTCATACAGGATAGATATTTGCGGGTTTCCTTTCTGAACGTTTTTTTTCCCCCCAAATATCACCTTGTAATCCCATCGAGAATCAGAGAATATTGCCAATCTCAGCCAGGTTATTTGCATAAAATCAATAAGCCAGCGCGGAACGCAAATCACTTTTTCCCTGCCCACGCGCCTTTTAAGAAAGGCTGTTTTAAGCTAATGCATTCATAACCAAATCCGAATAGGAATAGGAGTCTGGTATGCAAAAAGCCAGGCGCAGTATACATCTCATAGACGCGATCAACACAAACTATTCGAATTTTATTCTGAATTTATTTTTGTTCAATTTTAAAAATATCTTCATATAAAGCTGATATGCTTTACATTTTTGTACCTCTTTAAACCAAATTATTCAAGATCTTTTAAACAAAAAATAAAAAATAATAAAAAATTAGTTTAGATTAGTTATTATAGTAAGTTTTAGTCTTATAACTTTAATTTTTGATGCTTAACGAAATACGTTTATAGACAACTTTTTATATAGAAAACATTTTTAGTTAACACAAATACACATATGCACAAAGCTGGGTACAAAGCGTACAAGATTAATTGTGGAATTATTATAAGCCAGCAACGGTAACGTAGGCAGTTGTGGTTGTAAAGGTTGGCCTCTGAAGTTGATGTTGTTGTCGGATGCTGGGGCTCAACGAAAAGCAAAGCCGAGATCTCTGGTTGAGTTGAGCATGAAACGCCTCGCTGCCACGTAATGGCTGAAAATTGTCGTTTTTTTTCGGTTTGTTTTGTTATTGTCAGAAATATCGACGAACGGGAGAAAGAAGAAAGAAAATATTCCTGGACAGTCTTGTAAGTCCCCTCTCTTTCAAGACCTTATAGCTGGTATCCCGCTCGCGAGCAAAATTTAAATGAATATGGAAATATGAAAAACACGTTTCCAACATGGCTCGACTGGAGCTGAAACTTTGTAGTGAGATGTAAAGTGAAAAGCTCAAATAAAATAAAAATTCATAATAATAAGGAAAGAAATCGGGATCGGTATCGGGTGTGCTTGGGGCATCATCACGAAATTTTTGCCGACTCGTTCGGTTGTGGTTTCTGTTCTTTTTCGGTGGTTCTAGCTATGATATCTCTGGTCCGCAGAGCCTGCCCTTTGTTGTGGGTTTGGACTTGGATTTGAATTTGCATTGCAAATGTCGCTCGCCGCATAAACTAGCCGGGTCATGCACAGCTGAGGTATTTTATGAGCTCTTAAAAATAGCCCGCACGGCCACAGTATCGATATTAATGGCGTGGAAACCAGATATGCCATAAGCCAATCGGTGCGTATGGGAAAGTGTAAAGCAGACGGATAAACTAATATGCATACATCAATCAAACAAATGGGTTTTGCTTTTCTTTCCTTTCTTTGAGACAATATTTAAATTTTTCTGCCATTCGTGAACCGTGCATAGTGAACTCCAAATGAGCTTTGAAGGTTTCGGGGCGGACAGCTCATGCATCACCAATGAAAGTAATATTTGTATGGGGAAAAAAACTGATATCCGTTTATTCAAAAATCTAAAGTATTAAAATTTTGACACTTTTATTAACGGAGGGGCCAGGCTTTTAAAATTCTTAGAAAATCTGGAACGAGGATTACTAATGCAATCGGTATTCGATAGAAACAGAGAACCGACATCCCGGACACGGACAAATACCTTCCTATAGATTTAGGCTCATGTATTTGTGTGTTGGAAAACAATAAAGAAGACAAAACACCAATACATAAAAAATAAATTTGATAGAGACCAAAAACGAAATGAGAAGATTGCAAAGGAACAGCTCCGGCAACAAAAACAACACCGACAGCTAACAATACCATTAGAGCAGGTAGATTTTTAAGATTAATGAACGGGTTGGGCTTCAGAAACTTCAGACAGCAAAAACGAAATTTACGACGTATTTTAACTACGTATCTGAAAAGACAAAGAGATCTGATTCGATTCGATTCGGACCCCAGTCCAAATTCTGACAGATTCTGCGGGTTCACTGCCATGAGTTTTGTCTAGTTAGTCACTCTAGTGATTTTTAATCCCATTCAGGAGTATTCGCATGTTAGATTAAGATTTAACAAGCTTTTCGAATAATCCGTATCGATTATTCCACTACAGAATATTAGCAATTCTTCGAGGGATGCAAAATTAATTATAGTAATTTATATATGAACTGAGCTTATTTATTATTTAAAATTTTAAAAAATGTTTATAGGAGGGGTAGCCTTAAGTAGTGTTACTTTTATCCATGAACAGGGTATTTCTGGGCCTATCATATAGAAATTTGGGTGTTAATACGAATACGAATCAGTTAGCTTGTTTTAGAGCGCCGCAACATTGTATAAAGGGATGGAGGTGGAGGCAGGGGGCTTATTGCCTTTGTATTGATATTCTTAGAGTCTCAGGTTAACAAGAGATTGCCCACAAAGCATTAATTTGGTCCAAAGCTGACACGCATGCTATTAATGGAAATTTTCCCTTCTTTCGGTCGTTGTCTCCATCGCCGTTTCTGTCTCAGTATGTGTTTCGGAATTTCGTTTGATTAATAGACGCCGCCTAAATCTTGATTAGATTTTCCTAAAAGCCTAGGACCAGCAGCTCCAGTTGGTCTCTCTGTATTTCAATCAATTTGAGCGCTGGACTGGAGCTTCTTTCGTGTCCATTCGCCCGTATTTCTCAGATTGAAAATGGGCGTGGGTTGAAGGGGACTTATTATGAGATTGGTAGGGTTAAAGTATAGAGGTGTATAGGAAAACTGAATGATAACTAAGAAGGAATTTTTGTATTCAAATATCTGAGTTATGCTCAAGTTCGTGTTCTAAGTCTTTTGATTTTGGTAAGCTCCTTGGTAGCTTAAAGTTGGATTTAGAAACTCAGAGAAAATATCTTGAACCCATTGTTTTTCTATTAAAAAGGTACAACCTGCTGTTAATAATTGGAAAAGAGAAATTAATACATGGCAGCATTAAAAAATTAGTTTGGTTGCATTTCACTTGTTGTATCTCTTAATTAAATGTTATAATGATTGCTGTTACCAAAAATAGTAACTATGTGTTGAAAAAGGTAATTTTAATAACTGAAATAACAATCTCAATCTTTTGGTTTTTTCATTTATTAATTAAATTAACCTTCCCCCATTTTAATATTTTTTTAAGATTAAAATTTTTTTTTGTAAAATCGAATTAAGTAAAAATAATTTATTTTTGGTCAAATTGTTTAATCAACAAATCAAATTCAAAATCATTCATATATTGAGTTTCAGGCAGAAATCCCCATTATTGCGATAGTCGATTTTACGCTTTAGCGCCTCATGTTGCACTGAATTGAGCTTTACTAATTTTATGCTCGACGAAGTATGAAATAGCTGATATGCTTGGTGAGCGCGGGGCATAAAAGTGTTTGTTAATTGAAAGCGTTTTCCCAACAAGTGGCACGAGCACGTCAATATCTAATTAGCACTAGGCATTGTTTACCATATGACTAATTTTTCCTTTCTTTTTGCTTTCAGGCGACAGGCGACAAATCAAGAAACCATTCAAGTAACGCAAAATGACGAGTTCTAAGATGCATTCAGAGAGTGAGAAACAAGACAAAAGTGCAACAAATGAAGAAAGTGCAAAATAAATTAAGAATAAACATTAGACACAGCCTCCCATCCGCTCCAAAGATGGAGAGGCTCCTGCTCCTGTTTTTCCTGCTGCTGGCCAAGGAATCCTTGTGCCAAACAGGTGACACAAAACTGGAGCTACTGGCACCGCGCGGCCGGAGTTATGCCACAACCTATGAACAATATGCCGCCTTTCCGAGAAGGAGGAGTTCCTCGCCGTCGGGTGAAATGCAGTCCCGTGCCGTGGACACCAGTGCCGATTTCGAGGTGCTCGAGGGTCAGCCGAGAGGAACCTCCGTTGGTTTCATACCCACAAAGCCAAAGTTTTCGTACCGATTCAACGAACCTCCTCGAGAGTTCACACTCGATCCGGTAACGGGCGAGGTGAAGACCAATGTGGTGCTCGATCGGGAAGGAATGCGCGACCACTACGATTTGGTGGTGCTCTCTTCGCAGCCCACTTACCCTATTGAAGTGAGGATCAAGGTGCTGGATGTTAATGACAATTCTCCGGAGTTTCCCGAACCCAGTATTGCCATATCCTTCTCCGAAAGTGCTACTTCGGGGACTCGATTACTCCTGGATGCCGCCACTGATGCTGATTTTGGGGAAAACGGAGTGTCGGATCAGTACGAGATCGTGGCTGGAAATGTGGACAATAAATTCCGTCTGGCCACCACGGCCAATCCCAGTGGAGATAATTCCTATCTACACCTGGAAACCACAGGTAATCTGGATCGCGAGTCACGTGGCAGCTACCAACTGAATATCTCAGCGAGGGATGGAGGATCTCCACCGCGTTTTGGGTTCCTCCAAGTTAATGTCACTATTCTGGATGTCAATGACAATCCCCCGATCTTCGATCACAGCGATTATAATGTATCACTGAATGAAACGGCACTACCGGGAACTCCAGTCGTGACTGTCATGGCATCGGACAATGATTTGGGGGACAACAGCAAGATCACCTACTATCTGGCCGAAACGGAGCACCAATTCACGGTGAATCCGGAGACGGGAGTCATTTCCACCACGGAGCGAGTGAACTGTCCCCCGCAGACGAATGTCAAGAGCTCCTCCAACCAGAAAAGCTGCGTCTTCACTGTGTTTGCCCGAGATCATGGGTCACCCAGGCAGGATGGTCGTACTTATGTGACAGTGAATCTGCTGGACACCAACGATCACGATCCCATCATCAGTTTCCGGTACTTTCCAGATGGCGGAAAAGTGGCCACTGTGGATGAGAATGCGGTGAATGGAACCGTGGTAGCAGCCGTAGCCGTTAAGGATTCCGATTCCGGTTTAAATGGCAAAACAGCGGTGCGGATTGTTTCTGGCAACGAGTTGAGGCACTTTCGCCTCGAGGAGGCTGCCGATCTGCACATAGTAAGGGTAAATGGAGTCCTGGATCGCGAGGAGATTGGCAAATACAACTTGACGGTGGTGGCAATGGATCAGGGATCCCCTGCAAGGACTACAACAGCCCACCTTATCATTGATGTGAACGATGTGAATGATCATGAGCCTGTATTTGAGAAATCTGAATATTCGGCGGTGCTGAGTGAATTGGCACCCACTGGAAGTTTTGTGGCCTCGATTACGGCCACAGATGAGGACACCGGCGTAAATGCCCAGGTTCACTACGATATTCTTTCAGGCAACGAGCTAAAGTGGTTCTCCATGGATCCGCTGACGGGATTGATTGTGTCCTCGGGACCGCTAGATAGAGAGGTTCGTGACACCATAGAACTGAGTATCTCTGCGCGGGATGGAGGTCCAAATCCCAAATTTGCCTATACCCAGCTGAAAGTCATTATTCTAGACGAGAACGATGAAGCACCGCAGTTTAGCCAAATGGAGCAGAATGTTACCCTGGGCGAGGATGCGCCACCGCAAACGCTGGTGGCTTTGGTGTCGGCCACTGACCATGATCAGGGCACCAATGGTTCGGTGACCTTTGCCCTGGCGCCCAGCGTGGAACGCCTGTACCCGCGACAGTTTGCCCTCGATGCGTTAACGGGCCAATTAACAACGCGCCTGCCGCTCGATCGTGAGAAAATGTCGCGCTACGAGATCCCCGTGATTGCCCGCGATCAGGGAGCACCCACGCCCCAATCGGCCACGGCCACCGTTTGGCTAAATGTGGCCGATGTGAACGATAACAATCCCGAGTTTTATCCCAGACACTACATCTACACGCTCGCCGATGATGATAGCAAAGCCAGGGAGAAGGAGAAGGCGAACGAGCAGACCCTGCTCCAAGTCACGGCCTCAGATCAAGACGATGGCGATAATGCCTTAATTGAGTACCGACTGGAGTCAGGTGGCGAGGGCCTGTTCCAGCTGGACGCGCGATCTGGTGCCATCAGCCTGCGTGGCGATGTTGCCACATCGATGCACCTGAAGCCCCACTACAGACTGCAAATCTCGGCACGTGATGCTGGGCAACGGAGGAGCCAAACGGACGCAGTGGTGGAGATTGTGCTCAAGTCCAAGTCGGAGGTGCTCGAGTGTGGTCAGGGGCAGGGTGGTTATGAGTTCCAGATGCTCGAGGATCACGAGCAGCAGAAGCCAAAGCAATCGAATCGCGAGGTGGGGATCGTGCAGGTAAAGTCCCCGCATGGCAAGCAAAATATGCCCATCGAGTATGATATCATCCAGGGAGACAGGGATCAGAATTTCCAAATTGATTCCAGAAGTGGTCGCATCACCACCGCCCGCACTTTGGATCGCGAGGAGCAGGCCCACTATCGCTTGACAATCTTGGCCAGTTCCACGGCCAGTTCCTCGGTCGTTTTACATGGCCAGTGCAGTGTGAATATTGCCATAATCGATCTGAATGATAACGCCCCCGTTTTCTCCCTGGATCGCGATTCAGATCCCACGATCTGGCTGCCGGAGAATGCGGCCGTGGGCCAGGAGATCTACTTATCTAGAGTGCGGGATCGGGATGCGGGTGTAAACAGTAGAATTAGCTACAGTCTCACCAACAATCCCGATCAGCAGTTCCGCATTGGACCAGTCACTGGAGTACTCTACCTGCAAAGGCCATTAAGAGCGGAGCCGGGATCGGTGATTCACGTGGAACTAATGGCCACGGACGCGGGAAGTCCTCCGCTCTCCAGTAAGTTCGGTCTTTCGCTGTTCATAGCCGATGTCAACGATCACACGCCGGTGTTCGACCACACCTCCTACGAAACTTCTCTGCCGGAGACCACGAAAGTAAATACTCGATTTTTTGCACTGGCCGCTACGGATATTGATTTGGGTGAGAACGGTCGAATCTCGTACGAAATCATCGAAGGCAACAATGAGCGCATGTTCGGCGTATTTCCCGATGGTTTTCTGTTTGTAAGAGCTCCACTCGATCGCGAGGAGCGGGATTACTATGCCCTCACAGTTTCCTGCCGGGATGCCGGCCAGCCATCCAGATCCTCGGTGGTCCCCGTGGTGATCCATGTGATCGATGAAAACGACAATGCACCGCAGTTTACCAACAGCACATTTACGTTCAGTATTCCGGAGAATGCGCCTGCGGATACGTTTGTGGGTAAACTCACGGCTGTGGATCGGGATATCGGACGGAATGCGGAGCTTAGTTTTACGCTTTCCAGTCAGACGCAGGACTTCACGATAGATACGAGGAATGGTTTCATCAAGACTCTACGTCCTTTCGACCGCGAGGCTCTGGTTAAAGTGAGCAGGAACTCGGAGGCGGGAAGTGAAGAGGGAAACCTGAGGGGATCCTTGGCGGGAAATTACATGCTGCTGGAGGCCACAGTTTCGGACAATGGCAATCCCCGTCTGCAGGATAAAGTCAAAGTGAAGGTGATTGTCACAGATGTTAACGATAATGCGCCGGAATTCCTGCGAGCTCCTTACCATGTGACCATTTCTGAGGGCGCCTCTGAGGGAACGCATATCACCCACGTCTTCACCCAAGATGCCGATGAGGGCCTGAATGGAGATGTCTACTACACATTGGCCAAGGGTAATGAGGCGGGTCAATTTAGCCTGGACAGTGCCACAGGACAGCTTTCGCTGGCCCGCAGCTTAGATCGGGAATCCCAGGAGATTCATCACCTGATCGTTGTGGCCCGGGATGCTGCCCTTAAACACCCACTAAGCTCCAATGCCAGCATTACGATTGTGGTTCTGGACGAGAACGACAATGCCCCGGAGTTCACACAGTCGAGCAGTGAGGTTTCCGTTTTGGAGACAAGTCCAACAGGCACGGAACTGATGCGTTTCAGGGCCAGTGATGCGGATCAGGGAGTGAATAGCCAGGTGGTGTTCAGCATATCGGCTGGCAATCGCCGGGACACTTTCCATATTGACAGCACTACAGGCAGCCTCTATCTGCATAAGCTTTTGGACTACGAGGACATAACCAGCTACACTCTTAACATTACCGCCTCCGATTGCGGCACTCCCTCGCTGTCCACCACTGTTCTATACAACGTACTGGTTGTGGATGATAACGACAACCCACCGATTTTTCCTAGCACTGCGATTGTTCGACAGATCAAGGAGGGGATTCCCCTGAAGACACCCATTGTGACTGTCACTGCAGACGATCCAGATTCGGGACTCAACGGCAAGGTGAGCTACGCGATCAGCAAACAGGAACCCCAACTTTCGCAAGGACGACACTTTGGCATAAACACGGAGACGGGTGTGATTCATACACTAAGGGAGATAGATCGCGAATCCATCGACACTTTTCGCCTGACAGTGGTGGCCACGGATCGGGCTCAGCCGTCGGAACGACAGCTCTCCACGGAAAAGCTGGTCACCGTGATTGTGGAGGACATCAACGACAATGCCCCCGTGTTTGTGTCCATGAATGCTGCGATTCTACCGGCGAAACCAACTGCCAAAGGAAGCAGCACGGCTGTGATGCAAGTGCATGCCAAGGATGCAGACTCATCGAGCAACGGCCTGGTGACCTACGAGATAGTCAGTGGCCAACAGGAGCTGTTCCGGCTTCAGAGGAACACGGGAATAATAACCTTTACCCCGGGACCCCAATTCAAGCAGGAGGTGCACTACCAACTCACTTTAAAAGCCACCGATGAAGCGGTGCAGAGCGAGCGTCGCAGCAGCGAAGTGTACATCACGATCATCACGCCGGGTTCCGCCGGAAGTGAGTCATCCGTGCCGCAGTTCGAACGGCGGGATATGCTTTCCGGTTCGGTGTATGAGAACGAGCCCATTGGCACGAGCATTCTCACAGTGACTGCTCATCTGGCGGGCGCCGAAATAGAGTACTTTGTGACCAATGTCACGGCAGCAGGATCACATGGGCAGGTTGATCGCCTGTTTGACATCGATGCCAAGCTGGGAATCCTGTCCACAGCCGCTGAATTGGACAGAGAGGCTGGACCCGACGACTACGAGGTGGAGGTCTACGCCATTGCTCTTGGGGGACCACCGCGCACATCACGCACCAAGGTGAGTTGCTAGACAAAATGATTATATATTATACAAATTATATTATACTATTATATTATAAAATAATATATTTTTTCGATGAGTAAATAACATTAAAAGGTTTTACATATTCACAAGCCGTAATAGCACAGTTGAAATGAGCTTCTAGCTTCAAAATTTTGTTGTTTTTACTTTTGCTGTAAATAAATATAAATATATACTCTTTTACTTTGAAGATTCGTTTCTTTCTTAAAAATGTTTTTTCTTTTTTTATTTTTTAAAATACTAAAATTTTTTCAATAATTTTATAACTTTAATTTTTCTACCTTCTGAACAATTTTAAAGCGTTACAATTTTTTGACATTCTTAACTTAAGTAAAACTTCGTTTTTCGTATCAATGCTAATGTTCCAATGTATCAGACACACTTTGATCATAACGTTCGGAATTCAAGAAAGGCTTTTATCAGATTGCGATTACTTACACCAAGGGGACTTCGAACTTACTTTAAGACCGACCTTTCTTTTACTTTGTAGCAAAAGGTACGGCCTGCGAATGGCAATATGGGAATATAGGGATATGGTTGCTTTTCGCTGGTTGTTGTTGTTGCCGTGTCGGCCATTTCTGGGGCAGTTTCAAGGGCTTATCAGTGCAAGTCGAGACCGCACTAATGCGCTTTTAATGTCTTGTGCTGATATGAAATGTTGATTACACGCCAACCACTCCAGAGTTCCAGTGCTGCAGTCCCTCAGTCATCCTTTTCTGCACATGCACATGCGGTTATGCCTTCAGATGCAAATTAACAGGCCGATGAAGATCGAGCGGACTCTCGTCCCTAAGCCCAGCTATCTGTTGAATGAATTTTGATTGGGGGAAGGGTCAGGGGCAGGGGCGGTGGGCAACCAGACAGACCTGTGTATCGAGAAAATATTTTACATCCCAGCGCTGCATAAATGGGCCGCAGGGATAGAATTATAATAAGTTGCTTCATTGGCAGATGCCTTTAATTATGCCCAGTACCCTACTCACCCGAGTCGAGCTCTCCCGATCGCCTGTGTTCCGCCCCTCTTCGGTTGCAGGGTATTTCGCAGGCCGCTGCAGACCTCCTTGTACTGGTTTCCAAGCGGGAAAAGAAGAGAGAACAAAGGCCAAAGGAACCCGGCTCAAGTACACCAAAACAAATTAGGACCAATTTCAAATGGAGCTCCACAAATATTGTGTTGGTAATACAGCATTTTTCGTTTCTTCTTAATGTGAAATATTCAATTCGGCTTAATTATAAAAAATAAAAAATTGAGTTATGGCTATACTTCCCACTTAAAACATTAGGTTTATAAAATATATTAAAATTCCTAGGAGCAGTCTAAGACAAATAATATGGTAAAGATTTTTAAGATCTAAAAGATCATAATGAAACACCATTTTTTTCTTTCTGTGTAGACTCTTTTCGATTCTTCCCTTTGCAGTCTTTTCTTTGGGGCCAGATTCTTCTTCTTAGCAGGCAGCCATCGAAGTTCCTAAAGCCTTTTTGCCTTTTCTCGCCGATCCGCGTGTTCATGGCCAACACGTCGTATGCGTAGGTATTCCAACAATGCACGCATGCAAATGTGTGTAGTTCCAGTTCCAGTTTCGTGCAAGAAGCTGAAAAAAATGCAAAGAAAAAACACAGCCTTGGGTTAGTACAAGCAACTATGGTTTAGTGGATGTTTCGATCGCTGGTTCTCGCGTGCGAAGAGGGTTTCAATCAAATCGTGGTTGCATTGATTTAAAACGATTGTCATGTTTTCAATTTTTTTCGCGTTAATTTTAAATATTTGCGATGTTGGGATCGAAAAAGAGACTTCATCCGGTGGCGATTTTTGGGGACACTAGTTAGTTAATAGACTTTGGTTATCCAATGTATTTCATTCAGTATGGTTAAATATTAATGGTATGGTCTGAATGGACTTTTTTTCCTGCTAATAAGCAGTTAGCATAAACTTTAATGATCGCAGAACCCAATTAAGCTGCGCTTTCTAGTCTGCGATTCTCGACCTGCTTGGGAAATAATCGCAATTAAAAGTGGGCAAACAAGCGAGCGAATGTCATTTGGCCTTCCATCAAAATGTCCCCTGATCCGATTTCTTGGTTTGGAATTTCACGCAAATTTATGGCCATCCCAACGCTAGTTTCTGCCCCGTTCCGTTGCAAGTCGTCGTGTTTCCATGGGCTCTCTTTCGTGGCCATTACGCGGATTGACAAATGGTTACATTTTCTGCAGCTGCACCCGCTTTCCACTGCCTCAAATTAGTTCAATTAGCCGCACACATTTCACCCGGCCGCGGGCATCCAAATGGTGTTTTGCTCCTCAGACTGCCCACTAATGCATTCGTGAGTGGAAGTGGATCCCTACCAGCACCTCAGCTCATCCTCGTTTCTGCCGTCTGATGTTACAAATTTGCATACATTTTATTACAAATGCCGTATTTACTCGCCCAGCACCGACTTAACACCATCATTCCAGCACATGACGCTATATTTCACGACTCTGGATCCGACTCTGGAGTATTTATTGCCTTCATGGCTCTTTGTCCTGCATGTGCGACTTGGCTAAGAGACTTACGAGTTGGCTTTTCTAGACCGCCGGCTAGTCTTACCCGTGCTTTCGATTGATTCCTAAAATTTTCCCGACTTTTACACAGTTAATTGCTTTAGAAAGGCCATGTGTGCCCAAAATCACCTTTCTTATTTCGTACTTTTTATTTTCATGTTTATGTCGCATTGGTTTTTTTGATAGTTAGACCTCAAAACTTTTAAATTAATTAGAACAAGAGCAAAATGGTGCTTTTTCGGTGACAATGGTAATGGTAAAATTTCAATGTTTAAGTAGCTGGTTTTGTTCGTGCTGACCTCGAAGAGAAATGGCCTAAACTATAATTCGCTCGGTCATAAACAGAAAGTTCAAGCTGTGGCAACTGGCTGCGCATATCCCATATACCATATACCATATACCATATCCCATATAGTCAGATCCGAGTGTAAGCGGGTCATTTCGGGGCCAGGTTAAGAGAGATGAAGAATGCGATTGACATTGCGACAGAAGTTCGGCGGGCACATAAGTGGATGCTCGTACACAGAGTATTCTGGGCATTTAGTGCCAAATATGGAACTAGTTTCCGCTCGATGCGATATCGCTGATGCCAGCTTGTATTCCCCCTTCTCCACCAGCCAAGTGGGTCAGTGTTATTGACGCAACGAATACGCTTTATATTCCCCTGCAGGTCAGAGTAACAGTTCTCGACAAGAACGATAGTCCCCCGCAGTTCCTCGACACCCCGTTCGTCTTTAATGTCAGCGAGGACCTGGAGATTGGACACACCATCGCCACACTGCGAGCCCACGATCCGGATACTCTCGGTTCGGTGACGTTCCTCCTGATGGATGGCCACGATGGCAAGTTCCTGCTGGAGCCGCCAACGGGGAAACTTCTTCTCAACGACACTCTCGATCGGGAGACGAAGAGCAAGTACGAGCTACGGATCCGCGTTTCCGATGGGGTGCAGTACACAGAGGCATATGCCACCATCCTGGTAAGAGTAAAGCAAGGAAATTTAAAGTTTAAATTCAAATTTTACAACTTATTCTCAGGTGAGCGATACCAACGACAATCCGCCCATGTTCGAGGACACCGTGTACTCCTTTGACATACCCGAAAATGCTCAGCGTGGCTACCAAGTGGGTCAGATTGTGGCCAGGGATGCTGATCTCGGCCAGAATGCCCAGCTGTCCTACGGAGTGGTATCGGATTGGGCGAACGACGTGTTTAGTCTGAATCCGCAAACAGGAATGCTGACCCTGACCGCTCGACTGGATTACGAAGAGGTGGGAACCAAATTCAATTGATTCTTAGTTGGGAAAATACTTGACATTTTTATTTAACCCTTCCAACAGGTTCAGCACTACATCTTAATAGTTCAGGCCCAGGATAATGGACAACCCAGTCTGTCCACAACCATTACGGTCTACTGCAACGTGCTCGATCTGAACGACAATGCTCCTATTTTCGACCCCATGAGCTATTCAAGTGAGGTGTTTGAGAATGTGCCCATCGGCAATGAGGTGGTCACTGTGTCAGCGAAGGACATTGATTCAGGTGAGCTAGCTAAAAATATTTCCTGTCATCTCCTGCAGATTCCTTACTATCATCTTCTGCAGGCAACAACGGACTCATTGAGTACAGCATTACCGCAGGGGACGCCGACTTGGAGTTCGGAATCGATAGCAATGGCACTATCCGCACTCGCCGCCATTTGGACAGGGAACACCGATCCACGTACACACTTACTGTGACCGCCCGCGATTGCGCCGATGAGTTCGCATCCTTCAGCGAACTGGAGGAGACGCAGTTGAAGCTCAAGTATCGATCGCCCAGACGATACCAGCAGAATCAGCAGCAGTTTCTGGCCCATCAACAGCAGCAGCGATTGTCGTCGACTGCAAAGGTAGGTGTTCCTAAAACTAACCAACTAACCCAGAAAGGAAACAATAAGTTTTTTACAAAAAAACATGGATTTGATTTTCTGAATTTTTGTCTTTATGGCTGAGTTACTATTTTAACTTTCTATTTATAAAGGAATTAAATAGTTAAGTAATGTGTTATGAACAACATACATTATTTTAAATATTATATAATTATATTCTTAAATATAAAAAAACAGTTACATTTTTATTGAAATTAACTTGAACTTGTTATTGATTTTGTGTAAGTGTATTATAGTCGGCTTACACGATTCTCGTTTTTTTATCTAGCTGTAGCACATTAATAGCAATTACCTAGGCGTTCAGATTTGACTGAAATGCTTAGATCGTGGAGCCCTAATAAATTAGGAGATTAGTTTTAGGCACAGCAAAACCCGTTCTCATTCTTTATCGCTCGCTTGGCAACTTACAACACACTCACCGTACTTTATCTAAGCTGTCATGAAACACAATTAGCCAAATACTAATCCGCACTTTCTTCCTAGGTATCGATAGTCATCAAAGATGTCAACGACGAAGTGCCCGTCTTCGTTTCCGCAAACGAAACGGCGATCATGGAGAATGTGGCTATCAACACGGTCGTTATCGCTGTCAAAGCTGTCGACAATGACGAGGGCAAAAACGGTTTAATCGATTATCTCATGAAGGAGGCCACAGTCGAGGACATGGGTCAATCCGTGCCGCTACCCTTCTCTCTGAACCAGAAAGATGGACAGTTGCACGTAGTGAATGCACTAGATCGCGAGTTGCGTTCAAGCTATCTCCTCAATATCACTGCCCGCGATCGCGGAGAACCACCTCAGTACACGGTGTCGCAGTTGCTCATCCGAATTCTGGATGAAAACGACAATAGTCCCGTTTTCGATCCGAAGCAATACTCGGCCTCGGTGGCGGAAAACGCCAGCATTGGTGCCATGGTCCTCCAAGTATCCGCCACTGATGTGGACGAAGGTGCTAATGGTCGCATCCGATATTCCATAGTAATGGGTGATCAGAACCATGACTTTAGCATTAGTGAGGACACGGGTGTGGTGCGGGTTGCCAAGAATTTGAACTATGAACGACTTTCGCGCTACTCCCTTACAGTTCGCGCCGAAGACTGCGCTTTGGATAATCCAGCCGGTGACACGGCGGAGTTGACCATCAATATCCTGGATATTAACGATAATAGGCCCACATTCTTGGATTCCCCTTACCTGGCGAGGGTCATGGAGAACACAGTGCCGCCGAATGGTGGCTATGTGCTCACGGTAAACGCCTACGATGCTGACACCCCCCCTCTGAATTCGCAAGTGCGCTATTTCCTAAAGGAAGGCGATAGTGATCTCTTCCGCATTAATGCCTCTTCTGGTGACATTGCATTGCTTAAACCACTGGATCGAGAGCAACAGAGCGAGTATACCCTGACATTGGTGGCAATGGACACGGGTTCCCCTCCACTTACGGGCACTGGAATCGTACGAGTGGAGGTGAAGGACATCAACGACAATGATCCTGTCTTCGAACTGCAATCCTATCACACCACTGTACGGGAGAATTTTCCACCTGGCACTCATGTCCTGCGACCCAAGGCCACTGATAAAGATGAAGGACTAAACTCCAAACTGCGCTTTAGCCTACTTGGCGAGTACATGAATCGGTTTTACATTGACTCGGCCACCGGGGAGATTACGACGGCCACTTCGCTGGATCGTGAGGAGACTTCCGTTTACTATTTAACACTCATGGCGCAGGACAGTTCCATTACGGAGCCACGAGCCTCGTCCGTAAACCTGACAATAAGTGTGTCCGATGTTAACGACAACGTTCCCAAATTTGACTCTGGCAGTTACAACGTCACCGTTCCGGATAGAATCAGTACGGGTGAGTTTGTTTTTGGAGCCCAGGCCTTGGACTTGGATGAAGGCAAGAACGCTGTGGTTCAGTACAGCATCAGTGGTAGAGACCAGCACTACTTCGATATAAACACCAAGACAGGAGTAGTGAGCACAAAGCTGGAGCTCAAGAGTAACAGCAAATCTCCTGGGGATTTGACTTACACAATTGTTATAACTGCAATAGATCAAGGTGAAACCCCTCTAAGTTCCAAGGCTGAACTGACTGTAATCCTTCGACCTCCGGAGCTCTTTCCAACCTTCGCCTACATGACCAATAGCCACTTTACCATGTCGGAGGATGTACAGCCAGGCAAAATGATAACCAAAGTCAGTGCTGCATCGCCTAAGAAAGGATTGGCGGGTAAAATGCGCTATGCCATAGCAGGCGGAAATATTGGAGACTCTTTGAGAGTGGATGCTCATAGCGGAGTGTTGAGCGTGGGACCAGATGGCTTGGACTATGAGTTGACACATCTCTACGAGATTTGGATTGAGGCAGCCGATGGCGATATCCCAAGCCTGCGTAGTGTTACTTTAATAACCCTGAACGTGACGGATGCCAATGATAACGCACCCATCTTGGAGAAACTCATTTATAACGTAGAAGTTTTGGAGGAGGAGTCACCGCCTCAGTTGATAGCCGTAATTAAAGCCAGCGATCGCGATTCCGGCGACAATGGTAAGGTCATCTGTCGCTTACAGAATGATTTCGATGGCACCTTTGAGATCATGGAATCGGGCGAGATTTACACCAGGATGCGACTGGATCGGGAGGAAATCGGTGACTACGCTTTCGTTGTGGAAGCCGTGGATCAGGGAGTGCCCCATTTAACTGGCACAGCCAGTGTGCTGCTGCATCTTTTGGATAAGAACGATAATCCGCCCAAGTTTACGCGTCTCTTCTCCTTGAATGTAACCGAGAATGCCGAGATCGGCAGCTTTGTGATCCGTGTGACCTCCTCCGATTTGGATCTGGGTGCCAATGCCAATGCCTCCTACTCGTTCAGCGAGAATCCTGGCGAGAAGTTCCGCATCGAGCCACAGAGTGGCAATATTACTGTGGCCGGTCATCTTGATCGCGAGCAGCAGGACGAGTACGTCCTGAAAGTGGTGGCTTCGGATGGAGCCTGGCGTGCAGAGACACCCATAACAATCACGATCCAAGACCAGAATGACAATGCCCCGGAATTCGAGCACAGCTTCTACAGCTTTAGCTTCCCGGAGCTGCAGCAATCGATTGCATTAGTGGGCCAGATCATAGCCACAGATCGCGATAAACAAGGTCCCAACTCGGTCATCTCCTACTCACTGCAACAGCCGTCACCCATGTTCAGCATTGATCCGGCCACCGGGGAGGTCTTTAGCAAAAAGGTAAATATTAATTAAGCTGTAATTTAGTATTCAGTATTAATCTATTTACCCAACAGGCGGTACGCTTCAAGCACTCTCAGTATGTTCGCTCCCCGGAGAACATGTATGCCCTCACCGTTTTGGCAACGGATAATGGAAAGCCGCCGCTATATTCCGAGTGCCTGGTGAATATCAACATCGTGGATGCTCACAATAATCCTCCGAAGTTCGAACAAGAGGAGTATCTGGCTCCATTGCCAGAGGATGCGGTGCGTGGCCAGCGAATTGTTCGTGTCCACGCAACTGACAAACAGGATGCGGGTGTTAATGAAATGGACTATTTCCTGGTGTCCTCCGATCTAAACTCAAACTTCATGATCGGTCGACATGACGGTTGGATCACTCTGGTAAGACCACTCCAAGTGCCCCCCATGACTCGATATGAATTGGTTGTGAGGGCAACGGATCGCGGGGTTCCTCCACAGTCTGATGAGACTCGCGTCATTATCGTGGTGACCGGAGACAATCTAGACACTCCGATGTTCTCGGTCAACAGCTACCAGGTTATTGTGCCCGAGAACGAGCCCGTTGGTTCCACCATCATAACAGTCGGCGCCACAGACGATGATGTGGGTCCAAATGGCATGCTGCGATATGCAATTTCTGGTGGCAACGAGCGACATGACTTCAGTGTTGATGAACGCACGGGCGGAATTGTGATACAGCAGCAACTGGATTATGATCTAATACAAGAATACCACTTGAACATTACGGTTCAGGATCTGGGCTACCAACCATTGTCCGCAGTTGCAACGCTTACCATTATCTTGACGGATGTGAACGATAATCCACCTGTGTTCGACCAGAAGGAATACCACGGTTATATACCCGAAAACAAACCGGTGGGCACTTTTGTGTTCCAGGCCCATGCCACGGATAAGGATTCGCCGAAAAATGCTATCATTCATTATTCATTTTTACCCAGCGGAACGGATCGTCACTTTTTTATGATGAACCAAAGTAATGGTAGCATTTCGTCGGCGGTTTCTTTTGATTACGAGGAACGCCGCGTCTACACACTCCAACTTAAGGCAAAGAACCCGGATTCCAGCATGGAGAGCTATGCAAATCTGTATGTGCATGTGCTGGGTGTAAATGAGTTTTACCCCCAGTTTCTTCAGCCAGTTTTCCACTTCGATGTCTCTGAAACATCAGCCGTGGGCACCAGAGTGGGTGCTGTTCAGGCCACGGACAAAGATAGCGGAGAAGATGGACGTGTTTACTACCTGTTGGTGGGTTCCAGTAACGACAAAGGATTCGGAATTGACACACACACTGGTTTGATTTATGTAGCCCGGCATTTGGATCGTGAAACCCAAAACCGAGTGGTGCTCACCGTGATGGCCAAAAACTACGGCAGTATTCGAGGCAATGACACTGATGACGCTCAGGTCATCATCTCGATTCAGGATGGCAATGATCCTCCGGAGTTCATTAAACACTACTACACCGCGACCATTTCCGAGGCTGCTCCAATAGGCACAAAGGTAAAGACTGTGAAAGCTATTGACAAGGATGTGAGGCCGCAGAACAATCAGTTTAGTTATTCCATCATCAACGGCAACCTCAAGCAGAGCTTTAAGATCGATGTGCAGACGGGTGAGATTAGTACGTCAAGTCATCTGGATCGCGAGGAAATTGCCACTTATAATTTGGTGATTGGAGCAATAGACACTGGGTTGCCCCCGCAAACGGGAAGTGCTACTGTTCACATAGAACTCGAAGATGTGAATGACAATGGTCCCACCCTCACACCAGAAGCCCTAAGCGGCTACATTTCCGAGAACGAACCAGCTGGATCTTCCATCATGACTTTAATGGCCACTGATCCGGATCTACCCCGAAACGGTGGACCCTTCACCTATCAGTTAATTGCTGGTAAACACAAATCCTGGCTGAATATTGACAAAAACACTGGTCTGGTTAAGTCTACCACCAGTTACGATAGGGAGGTCACACCCATCCTGGAGGCAATAATCGAGGTGGAGGACAGTGGAAAGCCAAAACAAAGGTCCCAACACCTGCTCACCATCACAGTTTTGGATCAGAACGATAATCCCTCAACAACGAGAAGTATGGACTTGACTGTCAGTCTATTTAATGGCGATCTACCATCGAATGTTAAGCTGGCTGATGTGCGTCCCAATGACATTGACATTGTGGGTGATTATCGTTGTCGCCTTCAGAAGAATCCCGCCCAGAGTCAGATGCAATTGGCCATTCCACGAGCTTGTGATCTTGTTACCACATCGCATACCACACCGATAGCTTCTGTCTTCAGCTACACGGGTAATGATGGAAAGCATGGGGATGTTAGCTCTAAAGTGAGTGTGGCCTTCCAGAGTTTCAACAATGAGACCCTGGCGAATTCAGTTTCCATAATGGTGCGCAACATGACGGCTAACCATTTCTTGGCCAATCACTATAGACCAATGCTGGAGATGATTAAGTCTAGAATGGGCAACGAGGATGAAATCCTTTTGTATAGTCTACTGGAGGGTGGGGGAGGGAACTCCACTAGTCTCCAAGTGCTAATGGCCGTAAAATCAGCAAAGAGTGGCTATCAACAACCCAGGCACTTGATTGAACGCTTGCGAGAAAAACGGTCGGCTTTTTCGGAACTTCTTCAGAAAGAGGTGATTGTGGGCTACGAACCCTGTAGTGAACCAGATGTGTGCGAAAATGGAGGAGTGTGCAGTGCCACAATTCGACTGCTGGATGCCCACAACTTTGTTATCCTGGATAGTCCCTCTTTGGTGGTAAGTGGACCTCGGATCGTACATGATTATAGTTGCCAGTGCACCAGGGGTTTCTCCGGGGATCAATGCAGCCGTAGACAGGATCCTTGCGTGCCAAATCCTTGCCATTTACAATTCCAATGCCGCCGCTTGGGTAGCGATTTCCAGTGCATGTGTCCGGCCAATCGAGATGGCAAACAATGCGAAAAGGAGCGCAGTGATGTGTGCTACAGCAAGCCATGTCGAAATGGAGGAAGTTGTCAACGGAGTTCGGATGGATCGTCTTATTTCTGCATTTGTCGATCTGGGTTCCGCGGCAATCAGTGCGAGAGTGTGGCTGACTCATGTCGTCCCAATCCCTGTCTACATGGTGGACTATGTGTAAGTCTTAAGCCGGGATACAAGTGCAACTGCACCCCGGGACGATATGGAAGGCATTGTGAACGCTTTAGCTACGGATTCCAACCTCTCTCGTATATGACTTTCCCTGCTCTGGATGTCACCACCAATGACATATCCATCGTTTTCGCTACCACGAAACCGAACTCCTTGCTGCTCTACAATTACGGAATGCAGAGTGGCGGAAGATCGGACTTCCTGGCCATCGAATTGGTGCACGGCAAGGCGTACTTCTCATCCGGAGGAGCTCGCACTGCCATCAGCACGGTGATTGCCGGACGGAATCTGGCCGACGGAGGATGGCACAAGGTCACGGCCACTCGAAATGGACGTGTAATGTCTCTCAGTGTGTCCAAGTGTGCGGATTCCGGAGAAATATGTACGGAGTGCACGCCCGGAGATTCCAGTTGCTATGCGGCCGAAGTGGGACCCGTTGGGTAAGTTCCCTATTTACATTTTTCATACCAGGGTATAATATTGTTGTGGCTTATCTTCAACAGAACTCTCAACTTCAATAAGCAGCCTTTGATGATCGGCGGCTTGTCATCGGCTGATCCCATTTTGGAGCGTCCTGGCCAAGTCCACAGTGATGATCTTGTTGGCTGTCTGCACAGTGTGCACATTGGAGGACGTGCTCTGAACCTGAGCTCACCGCTTCAGCAAAGGGGCATTTTGCCAGGATGCAATCGACAAGCGTGTCAGCCCGCTTTGGCCATTGAACGCTGTGGAGGATTTGCAGGACAATGCATTGATCGGTGGTCCAGTTCGCTGTGTCAGTGCGGCAGCTATTTGCAGTCGCCGGATTGCTCGGACTCCTTGGAACCCATTACCCTAAGTGGTGGCGCCTTCGTGGAGTTCAGGATCTCCGAAATATATCGCCGAATGCAGCTGCTGGATAACCTTTACAGTAGCAAAAGTGCCTGGTTGGATAACAGTCAGCTAAGGGAGCGTCGTCAAGTGGGAGCTGCCAACAACTTTAGTACCGCTTCCCAGATCTACGAAACCCCCAAAATGCTGAGTCTTCTATTCCGCACTTACAAGGATCAGGGACAGCTCCTTTATACGGCCACCAACCAAATGTTTACTTCGCTATCGCTCCAGGAAGGCCGCTTGGTTTACTACTCCAAGCAGCATCTCTCCATCAACATGACAGTGCAGGAATCTTCTCAGCTAAACGATGGCAAATGGCACAATGTCAGTTTGTACAGCGAAAGTCGGAGTTTGAGGCTACTGATCGATGGCCACAAAGTGGGCGATGAACTGGATATTGCCGGAGTGCATGACTTTTTGGATCCCTATTTGACCACTTTCAATGTGGGTGGAGAACACTTCGTTGGATGCCTGGCCAATGTCACAGTGAACAACGAACTGCAGCCGTTAAATGGATCAGGCAGCATCTTTTCCGAGGTTCGATATCATGGCAAGATTGAGTCCGGTTGCAGCGGAGACATGGGTCAAGATGCCGCCCAGGTGGCCGATCCCTTAAGCATTGGTTTCACCTTGGTTATCGTCTTCTTCGTCATCCTGGTGGTGGCCATACTGGGTTCCTATGTTATCTATCGGTTCCGAGGAAAGCAGGAGAAGATCGGCAGCTTGAGTTGTGGTGTGCCTGGTTTTAAGATCAAACATCCCGGCGGTCCAGTGCCACCGAGTCAAGTGGATCACGTCATGGTGCGTAATCTTCATCCCAGTGAAGCTCCTTCGCCGCCAGTTGGAGCTGGCGACCACATGCGTCCACCTGTTGGTAGTCATCACTTGGTGGGTCCTGAACTGCTGACCAAGAAGTTTAAGGAGCCCACGGCGGAGTTACCCCAACAGCAGCCGCAACAACGTCCCCAGCGTCCGGATATCATAGAGCGGGAGAGTCCACTGATTCGGGAGGATCACCACCTGGCCATTCCGCCCCTCCATCCACTTCCACTTGAGCACGCCGGCTCCGTTGATCTGGGTTCCGAGTACCCGGAGCACTACGACCTGGAGAATGCCAGCTCAATTGCTCCCTCCGACATTGATATTGTGTACCATTACAAGGGTTATAGGGAAGCGGGTGGTTTGCGGAAGTACAAGGCCACTGCTCCACCGGTTTCCGCCTATACGCACCACAAACACCAGAGTTCCGGTTCGCAGCAGCAGCAGCAACAGCACCGTCATGCTGCTCCATTTGTGACCCGCAATCAAGGTGGCCAACCACCGCCACCGCCCACCAGTGCATCCCGCACCCATCAGAGCACTCCGCTGGCCAGGCTTTCGCCCAGTTCCGAGTTGAGCTCCCAACAGCCGCGTATCCTCACCCTGCACGACATATCCGGCAAGCCGCTCCAAAGCGCCCTACTGGCCACCACCTCCAGTTCCGGTGGCGTTGGCAAGGATGCCCACAGCAACAGTGAACGCAGCTTGAACAGTCCGGTGATGTCGCAACTATCCGGACAAAGTTCCAGTGCCAGTAGGCAGAAGCCGGGAGTTCCGCAGCAGCAGAGTCAGCAGACATCCATGGGACTGACAGCCGAGGAGATTGAGAGGCTGAATGCTAGACCACGAACTTGCAGTTTGATCTCCACCCTGGATGCCGTCTCCTCCAGCAGTGAGGCACCTCGAGTGTCGAGTAGTGCCCTCCACATGTCCTTGGGCGGGGATGTGGATGCCCACAGTTCCACTTCTACAGACGAAAGCGGCAACGATAGCTTCACCTGCTCGGAGATCGAGTACGACAATAACAGTCTAAGTGGCGATGGAAAGTATTCGACCAGTAAGAGCCTTCTGGATGGACGCAGTCCCGTGTCGAGAGCCCTCAGTGGAGGAGATACGGGGAGAAATCCACCGACGAGTGTGGTCAAGACCCCGCCCATTCCGCCGCACGCCTACGACGGATTCGAGTCGTCATTTCGTGGATCGCTGAGTACTCTGGTAGCCAGCGATGATGACATAGCCAACCATCTGAGCGGAATCTATCGAAAGGCCAATGGCGCTGCATCCCCATCGGCCACCACGCTCGGTTGGGAGTACTTACTGAATTGGGGGCCCAGCTACGAAAACCTGATGGGCGTCTTTAAGGATATCGCCGAACTTCCGGATACAAACGGACCGCCGTCACAACAGCAACAGCAGCAGCAAACCCAAGTTGTGTCCACGCTGCGAATGCCATCATCGAATGGACCGGCGGCTCCTGAGGAGTACGTGTAATATATTAAATTTACTAATGTGATTCACAGAACTTCAAAATTCTGGGATAGCAACGGTCTGCAAGCCTGAAAATAGTTGAAAAACATGGGGTATTCTCGAAAATCGTGTATGTAAATTTTGTGTAAAGTTGCATCCTTTCATAGTAGATGTTAAGTAATGCCATTTTATTTCGCAATGTACAACGAAAACGTAACGAGGATAGATATTAAGTTAAAGAAAATGTAGAATCGTAAATTTGTAGAAAAATAAGACTTTAATCTTATATGAACGCCTTGTATCAAGGTCAACCATCCTAAGTGCACTTTCGTTAAGGGTTCGAAGGCGAAACTGTAACGACTGATACTTCCATACATTAACATTCTCATTAATTGTGGATCATTTCTATTGCTGATTAATTGGAATTCTGTACTTGTGTAAATGATTTCCCGAGTGCTATATTAAGATAGTTTCAGCAACACTATGTATTGATTTTTACCGCCATTTAAGTACATTTTAACATTGTTCTAATTTATTGACAATCTCGCCCAACATCCCCTAACTAACTGCCTTAGTTGTAGTTTTAGACAATTAATTTCAGAGATACTTCGCATTCCTTTAGATATAGCTAAAAACACCGTGTATATGTACGTAAGCTTGTATTTCTAATTCGTAGTAAAATGTTATTAAATACATATTAACCATCAATAGTCGTTGGACTTTTTTGTTTCTTTTCATTTGAAAATTATCAGTATTTTCTTTACTTTATTTGAGAGCTCTAAAATATGAATCCCAGACAACAGAATAAATTTGGTTTATTCTTGGGATCTGCTTTTGCGAAGGAGTTAGTAATTGAAAAAGGGACTTTCCACACATTTATAATTTTTGATCTGCATTTTTATTTTAAAGAATATTTTGCAAGTTTCTAGACCTATTTTCTTTAGTTGAGCTAAACATTATTGTCTTCTTGGCAAATTGTGAAAAGAGCCGTGGAACACGGAACATCGTTCATCACGCCGTCCAGAAGTTCGACACAGTGCTCATCGCCTTTCTTGTTGTTGGGTTCTCCCGCCCGCCACTTCAAAAATGGAGCAACCTTTCCGGAGGCCTGGGATACGTAGGTGCCGTTATTGTCGCGATCGTTGATGCCCAGCCAGTAACGGACGTGCCTATTGACTTTTGCCTTAATGGCGTCCAGTTCCTCTTGGTCTTTAATTGCGGCTAAGTAGCCACCCATTCGGCGACAAGTCTCTTCGGCCGCAGGACGAGGCACTGGATATCGACGGTGGGATATATAGAAACGTCTAGAACCGATTTCCTCAAACTTCGGAGTCTCCTCTTCATCATATCTGGGAGAAGGTATTTCTTCGATCCGCCCCCACATCATCCTATTTATTCTGTTAATTATAAATTCTTGTTTTTCTATCTTGTCCTCAAGTCCGCTTATTCTTTTCTCGTTGTCATCTGAAACGATTCTTTTAAAATATTGTTTTAATGATACCACATTTTTAACTTACTCTGCAACTGCATAATATTAGTTAAAAATGGATTCGACGTGTCCTGCAATGCACTTTCAGATTGGTGAGCGTCCAAGACTTTTGCTTGGGATCCATATACATTCCACACAACGAATACAAACGAAAGATACTTTCCGAGTTTGGTCATAGCGAACGTTGGCAATGAACTGAATATGATTTTAGGTGGCTGCTGGCTTTTTATAGGGCTATGGTGCTCTGATGATAAGAACAATTTCTTATTGCATTTATATTATAAATATATATATTTTTGTGTTATATAAATATTATATATTCCCCAACATTAAAATACATTTTTCAAAGCTTAAGTGATTGGTATTGTTTCGGATATTAAGGAAGGATAAACGTTTATCAAAAACTTTGATTAGGGCAACTATTACATTTTTAATGACACTCATTTTATGAGGGCAAAGTTTCCAGAAATCATTATCAAAATTGAACGCAAAACAGTTTCTGACTAAAATAAGGAAATAATTCCCTAATAAAGTTCAAATAATTTTAATAAGATTTGAAAAATAATTTATATTTCTTGATGTTACTCATTTTAAACTTAACAATAAATCATCAGATTGTCTGCGCTTTTTAATTGCGTGTATGTATGATTACTATATTGATTTAACCTGATACTTTTGATCTGTCTGAACTTATTGTCTATTTGTCTATTGAACTTCTTTCGAAAATCCGATGACGAATTTGCCCATTTAAAAATTCCAAATAAACAAGCACATTAAAAGATTATAAGCCAACAAAGCTTTGAGTTTTCAAATCTTTAAATGTGGTACACATTGGCGCCAAATTGTAATGTTCAGTATTACCAGAGGGCGCTCAGCATAAAGTCCAAAAAGTTTTTATATTTCCGATGTTTTTCAAAACAAGTTATCGATATAAATTTTTTTAAAGTTGATTATTGGACTGTTTACTTATTTAATATTAAATATATACTTAATACAAAAACTTTTGGTTGTTCTTAATATTTAAGTACATAAGCATGAAGCTTTCTTGTTATTTATCTAATTAATTTTATCTGTATGACATATGTATGCATATAAAAATTAGGCATGGTTACATTTGTAGCAATTTTCATATCTAAAAAACCATATTTAAATAATACCATTGAAGTAAAGAAATAAAAGCTAATAATTTCAGATATCAGTTTCCAAAAAAGCTAAATATGGCGGGAAAAGGCTAAACTGCCACCACCGGAGCAGACATAACATCGCCATCAGCTGTTCGCAATAGAAGAAGAAGAGAGTGCGCGAGCATTCGCTGAATGAATTGAAAGTAAATTAACTTTTTTCGTGTATTTGGCGGACAATAATAAAAAAAAAACGCAAGTAAATGTGCTAAATAATGTGATATGCCGCTGATTATAAAGAACCCCTCGAAAATCTCTTCTAATCTTCAGAAGCGGATACATTTTGTGTGAAAAAACAACTGCCAGCCGTGTAATTAAAAATGATGAATTGAAGTGTGCGCAAAAAAAGTGAAAGTGCATACAGAATTCTCCCGCCCACGCATTTGTCCACGCCTCCTTTTTTTTGGGGTGGCAGCAACGCCCCATCCCTCTTTTCTCCGCTTTTATGTGTGTGTGTGCGTTGTGTGCGCCTGTGTTGCGCGACCTTCACGCAACCTTCAACATGCAGCAACACGTTGTGTGTAATCTAACATTTTTGCCAATAGTCTAAAACAACAATCTGAATAAAAAAAGCTAATAAAAAAGGCAGAAAAATCAAATCAACCGGCTGCCAATGGCAACACAAAAACAAAAATCAACAAATTCTCCCAGCAAACAAAACTCTCTATCTCTCTCTCTCTGAGATTTCCGCTCATTTTCGCTTAACCCGTTCGCTTTTGCGATTTTCGATTTCAATTCAACTTCAAAAGTTGAGCGGAAAAGTTCTCCCCGAGAAAAAGTGATCCTTACATGAGTAAAATATTAACACTAGTCGCGTTATCAAAAACCCGCCTAAAATCGTGTCATAATAATTGATAACATTGCCCCACATCAAAGTCGGACTTTATTGCCCTATGCAAATTGGAGCTTATTTCATTAGCATTTCAAAACTTGCCTCGCCTTTTGGTTATTTTGCGTTTTAGTTTCGGTGCCCGGTGATTGTGAAATATAAACTTAAGGTTGATAAACTCAATAAGAAGTGCTTACTCTTCAAAAAGTATATAGTTTGCTGACCTCAGCTTAAAAATTGCTTAACCATATTTCATTTTCCAATTTTGTAAAACATTTTAAATTAAAATCAACAAAACTTTTAATTTATATAAACACGAGACTCATGTTTCTTGAAAAATTAATATATAGTATAGTAGATAATCTAAATCCTTAACCCTAAGATATAAAAATAAAAGTTTTAAATTAAAGATAATACAAGAAATATGTTTTAAAACCCAGTTAAAAAAAGTTAAATCCAAAGCAAATAAGAAAACTACATAATCACATATGTCAAGAATAGCAAAAATAAACAAACAAAATTACCGGGTATCTCACAGTCTGTAAAATTCATTCAAACATTCCTAATTGTTTTTATTGCATTCCTATGCTAAATTACTTGAATACAGCTCAAAAAACGGCGCGTCTCTTACGTCATTTGAGCTGAAACAATTTACAATTCTCCTCCAGCATCAATTGAAAAACAATTTTCTGCCTTTTACAGATTACAGATACAAAAGTTCAACGCCTTTCTCTCGAGTATAAACAAGCCAACAAGCAAAAACAATAAATTAATTTGTTTATTTGGCACATTAATTGCTCAAAAACGAGTCGCGTGTGAACGAGCTAAATAAAATCGCCAACTGGCATAAACAAAAACTAAAAACGTAAAGCGCGAGATTCTACCGATCGGCCACAAAATGAACGACCGTGAATTGAGCTGCAGTGCGGGCGGCCAGTTTATGGATCGCGGACGGATGAACCAGAATGGAGTTGTCCAGCCTTTGCTAACTGGTAATTAACAAAATATATATTGCCAACAGATGGTTCGAATAATTCTTTAATAAAAAGAAACAACTGTTTTAGGGAATTTTAGGATTTGTAGAATTGATTTTAACTTCATTAAATTTGTTTTAATACTTTGGTTTAACAAGTTTTTAAATAGGAAGGGGATGCTTTCATGTGATACGTATTTAAAAAAAAAACCATTGGATTGGTTGAATCTGTTAGAATTGAGTAAAATTAGAGTAAAATTAAATATTTTATTTATAAATATTTAAGACTCCTCTTAAATGTATAAGAAATTGTTAGGTAATAGTTGGATTTAATAGAATTTAGCTTCAGCTTATTTCCCAAAAACATATTAGTATAATATTTATATATTATTTACATATGAAATTGATTATTATCTTCAAAATAAAAGGTTTTTACATCCTTTTCCGAAGCCCTCAAGCCGGTTGACATTTATGCAGAGATATTTTGGCGCGCTATGCGATGCTTTTGTCGGCTTGTATACCTCTCTATATATACCCCGCATATTTTTAGGCATAGCAGACACGAGCGCAAATAAATAAAAATAAGCGATCATTGGGTCTTTGCACTTAGATAAGAATTTGCATTTCATTTGGGCTCGTGTTTTTGTATTTGGGTAGCGTTAATTGCTCCCATCAGCTATAGCCTTCCCAGCTTATCTTATCTGCCCCGTTTCTAGGCTAAAATGGTTGCTACTATGTACAGGGGAACTTATTTAACTTGAACTTGCTTACAAATATTTATATTTATCAGTTATACAGTTTTATTATGTTTATGTTTTACAGCTTAAAGACTGTAACCATCAAGTTTAAAAGTAGATCGGTTTAACTGTTAACCATTTCTTAATATTGTTCTCGACTTATGAATATTATTACAGATTTGTATCAAATCACGATGGCCTATGCATATTGGAAATCCGATAAGACCGATGATACGGCTGTGTTCGATCTGTTCTTTCGCAACAATCCATTCCACGGTGAATTTACGATTTTCGCCGGTCTAGAGGAGTGTCTAAAATTTCTGGATAGCTTCCACTATTCCCAAAGCGGTGAGTGGCAGACATCTATATTTTGATTCATTTTGGTTAATCAATTTGATTGGACTCCTTTCAGATATTGAATACCTAAAGCAAACATTGCCCGAGGGCATTGAACACGAGTTTTTTGAGTACCTCGGCAATCTGACGGCTCGGGATGTCACCTTGTACGCCATTGATGAGGGCACGGTAGCATTTCCACGGTGGGTTTGCATGGGATCCATAGAACTATGAAATGTTGTTCCATTTTCTTACATTATGTAGAATATATATTAAGTTTAAGTTCCACAGTTATATTATTGAAATAGCTATGATTAATATGATTGTTTGATAATTATTTTTAAATAAGTGATTCGTTTTATAAACGATTATTAATTTCAAAATCTTTTATTATTACTCTTAGAGGTCCGAAGATTACTCATTTTATCAAGTATTTGTACTTAAGAATATTTTTGGAGCAGTCATCAAAACAGTCAACACGTATTTATTCAGAGATTTGCATGGTTATTATATGTAGGCATACATAATAAATGACTGTGTTGCAGCTGATAAGTTTTAAGATACTCATTTTAGTCATAAATGCTATCTAAAAACAGAATTATGATTAAACAGCTATGATAATCTAAGCTTTTTATACCCTTGCAGAGGGTATTATAATTTTGGTCAAAAGTGTGCAACGCAGTGAAGGAGACATCTCCGACCCTATAAAGTATATATATTCTTGATCAGGATCACCTCCTGAGTTGATATAGCCATGTCCGTCTGTCCGTCTGTCCGTCTGTCCGTCTGTCCGTCTGTCCGTCTGTCTGTCCGTCTGTCTGTCCGTCTGTCTGTCCGTC